GGAGCAGGGAGCCCGATGCGGGGCTCGATCCCAGGACCCCGGGATCACGACCTGAACCGAAGGCAGACACCCAACAAATGAGCCACCCAGGCACCCCCCCCAAAAATGTTATTTTAAACATAAAAGCTATGACTGGAGGGGTGCCTGGGAGGTTGGTTAAGCATCTTAACTCTTGGTTTCGGCTCAGGTCATGATCTCAGGATTGTGAGATGGAGCCCTGCATCCAGCTCCACACTCAGTGCAGAGTCTGCTTGAGAGTCTCCCTCTCCCTCTGCCCCTCCTGCTCATTCTGTCTCTTTCTCTCAAATAAACAAATGAATCTTAAAAAAAAAAAAAAAAAGCTATGACTAGAATAAACTCCTATATATCCATCATCTAGATTTATCAGTTGTTGGCATTTTAACACATTTGCTTTATCATTCTCACTTCTTTCATACACAAACGTACTTTTTCCTTTGCCAAACTTCTTAAGTTAGAGATATTATGACCCTCTCCCTTGAAAACTTCAATGTATATCTCTTAAGAACAAGAAAATTATCTTATATTCTTATATAGCCTTAATTATCAAATTCATGAAATTAAACATTGATATAACATTATCCTATATATAAATCATATTCAAATTTCTCCAATTGTCTCCATAGCGTCCTCTATAGCAAAATTTCTCCTGACACAGGATTTAACCCAGAATCACATATTGGCTTTAGTCATAACATTTCTTCAGTCTCCTTTAATCTGGACTGGTTACTAATGCTTTGCTTGACTTCCAAGACATTTTTGACAAGTCTAAGTCAGTAGTTTTATAAAATATCCCTCAACTTGGTATGTCCAGTAGTTTCTGTAAGTAAATGTTTTGAATGTCCAATTTAAGTTGCACATGCATGTGCTCACGCATGCATGTGCTCACGCATGCACGTGTGAATGTGTGAGTGTTGAGGGGGCATAAATAAACTGACATGTTTGCCAAGAATCAAAATGTCCAAGTTCCTGATCTGAAATATGAACAAATCCAGGTGAACGCTCAGTCGGTTGGCATTTTTAGTTCAAATGAGTAATGTATTCCCTTGACATTGGTCCAGGATTTTAAGTCAACGCAAGGTAATAGAGCAGGACAGTAAATCTATGTACAATCCTTTGCTAAGCAATAGACCACCCAGCCAATACTCAGTTCAAGCATAAGGCTAATGTCTATCACTCACCAAAACAACCTCATGGTTTTCAGGAATGAAGTTTAAATACAGTTCAATAAAATGAGAGCTCCGATGCCTTCTGTGTCCATTTTCTAGCCCATGCTTAAATCAGGTAAGTTTATACTAATCAACTCTCTCTTTTGCCTTATTCAGGAAATATGTCATATAGATACGAATAAGAAAGGGCATCTGGTATGCCCTATTACTCCCTTGTGGAAACTGAAACTACCTCAAGAAATGTAGGACATGACTTTGTTACATAAAATGATACCTTATAATATTAACTGTTAAGAGACTTTCACCTTTTGTGGTCTCAGCCAGTGCTATGCAAAGTGTGGTATGCAAACCCAGTGCCAGTTCGCCATGAGGTAAGAAGAGAAACTGAGAATAAATGTTTAGAAATTTTTAAGCGATTTAACAAAATAATTTTTTGTCTAATAAATCTAATGATAAAAATAGGGACTTGTATTTTGAATTTTTTAAGTTTCTAGTAATTCATTTTTATCATATTTAATAAAAGTATTAGTCTCCAAAAAATTGGAAGGAAAAAAACAACTGTCCCTTCACTACAGACCTTTGAGGACTGGTCTATTCCACATCATATAGCAGACCAAGTATGTTAAAGTCCTTTGCATTCCATAGCCTGCCCTAAAAGTACCTAATCCACAAATGAGACAATGAATAAAGGTTTGGTAAATGAATTAAATGACTAATAAAAACCTGAAAAAAATACATAATAATAAAAGTAGCTAAGAACTTTATCATCAGGAGCGCTTGGGTGGCTCAATCCGTTAAGCATCTACTTTCGGCTCAGGTCATGATCCCAAGGTCCTGGGATCAAGCCCCGCATCGGGCTCCCTGCTCAGCGGGAAGCCTGCTTCTCCCTCTCCCACCTCCCCTGCTTGTGCTCTCTATCAAATAAATAAATAAAATCTTTCAAAAAAAAAAAAAGAACTTTATCATCAATTGAAAAGTAATGCTATTATTATATGTATATACATATTATTATTGCCTATTATAGGATAATGTTTATTAGTTTTTCTCCTCCTCTCAGAGGAATATGGTAAATAAAAGAATATTTTGAAGAATGTGTGTTAGGAGTCATTTTTTAAATTACTTTACAGTTCCTAACAATGAATATTTTAGCCAATAAGCTGGATTAGAAAGAAATAAAATGCTATTAGTCATAAATGTTCACTTTCTAGTTATAGATGTTGCTCAAAACAGAAACCCAGTTTGGAAACATGACCCAGAATAGTTTTAATATGCAAATTAAATCTCTAACAAATACAACTTACTTCCTAGCGATGGTGGTCACTCGGATGCGTCTCTGCCCACTTGAATGCTGATACTGAGTCACAAACTGGATTGCACCACGCCCTCCTTGAGGAATTGGAGCATTATGCTATATAAAAACAAGAGTAAAATCTAAGCAAAATCTATTACAGTGTTATCATACAGTTTCCCTAGCATTAATGAAATTCATTCTAAAATCGATTAGAAGGATGTTTGTTTCCAATGCATACCAAACAACTGTGATCTGCCACATAAAAGAGAAATGTATCTGGGAAAGAGGAAAAATGATGAAGCATAAGAGAAGTGAGTCCAGCTAGGATATCAATTTCAAGTAATATATAATCAGAGGGATGTGAAAGAACAAAATGAAGAGAGAAGTGTAAAGAAATTAACAGATACAGCAAAGGCATAAGTAAAGCAATTTCGCTAGATAGTAGCTGGATAAAGAGAAACTGAACAAGTCCTTCTCCCCTCAGTATATGAGATGAAAACAGAACTTTTAGGAAGATAATCACATGATGAACAGATGACTAATGGAAAACTATTAATGAGAAGAGCCCAACAGTAATTTATAATAATGATCCTCAGAAAGAAATAGCAAGTGGTAAATACGAGAAACTTTCTTCATGACCTTTGACAATAAGCGTTCTTGCTTTATTTATTTATTTATTTGGTCAGTAAGAGCCACGATTTTTTCCACAAATTTTGATGGATAAACAAAAAAATTCCTGTACCTGTCTTAGGAAAGCTGACCATTAATATTTTGTGGTTCATTTTATGCCTAATTAACTACTGGTATATAAGTCACTAATTTGTACATTATATCATCCTTTAATATAACTTCCTCCTATACCAGAAAAAAAACTTTTCAAATATTAGAATCTTTACCTTCCAATCATTTTCTATGAATTTTGATATATTAAACTTTCTTGTAGGGGTTTCATATATTGTTACATACCTTGTCGCAACTAGGAGGAGCTTGATGCCTAATTACAAAAATGCATAGCTAGTACAGAATTTAAGATTTTATTTATGCTTCAATTTTATATTAAGACAGAAAAAATAAAAAGAAAACTGAGACAAAAAGCTGGGTTGCCCAATGTTAGGCATTTGCAGGTTTCCCTAACATCTCTTTCTATTATAGTTTATCCTCTCACCAAGGAGTTTAGTCTTGCGAAACAGAAAATGACAAACAAAAATTCCAAAACAGATTAAGCTTCAAGTAATAATTACTATTGGAAAAAAATATGAAATATATATGGCCTAAATTGAGTACTTCTAATACAAAAAGTCATACCTGATTGACAACCTCAAAATATATAGCTAAGGTTGTAGTGGGGCTGAGTCCACATATCTTCCATTGACAAGTACCACCTGTTCCTATTTCCTGTAAAAACAACACACAGTATGTGTAAAGGCTAGAGAACACAATTTTTTAAAAGATTTTGCTTTCAAGTAATCTCTATACCCAAGGTGGGGCTCGAATTCACAACCCCAAGATCAACAGTAGCATGCTCCACTGACTGAGCCAGCCAGGCACCCCCAATCTATTACTATAATATATATTAAGGTAAAAAGGGGAGGAAAAAACTGCAGTAAAAAAAAACTGTTTCACATTTCTAACTAACTTAATGAATGTTAAAAGCTTAAGATTTTTTTTTTTTTTAAAGATTTTATTTATTTATTTGTGAGAGAGAATGAGAGACAGAGAGCACGAGAGGGAGGAGGGTCAGAGGGAGAAGCAGAC